TTTGCTAAGCTGCTTTTCTGGTGTTCCCAGCAAGCATTCCCAGCTTTTTCAGTGTCCATGAATTCAGAGTCCAGGCAAAACATATCTTGGACTTCCTGAGGCTTCTTGTTCCATCGATGCCCTAGAAGTTACCAGCTTGGTGGCTTTAAATGAAACTATTCCAGTGCTGAAAATGTTCTGGAAAACTGTCCCTGTTCCCAAAGGGAAGGTGCTGCTTTTCCATGCCTTTTGTTGGTGGTTTTCCTCACTCCCTGCAGTAGCTGATCCTCAGGATTTCTCTGGAGCTTCAGCTGGGACTGAGCAGTGCTGGTTTGGGGCTCTTAAGTGGTGTCTGGAGTGTTGTGACCAGTCCTGGAGGGAATGTGATCCCAAACAGCACATCCATCCCAGGGGCTGCTGCGCTTCCAGAGCGGGGGAATGTGTGACTGGAAGTGGTTTCTCCTGGAGTTTCAGTCCTTCCTCAGCTGCCACTTTGGTTCTGATGTGGTTCCTGATCAGGGCCTTGATGAGCTGCCTCCTGAGGGAATTGAGCAGAAGGTCTGGGTGATGCCAATCAGGACCTCAGGGCCTTGGAGCCTGAGGAGAGAAGGATCCAAGGAAACCTGAGAGCCCCTGCCAGGGCCTGAAGGGGCTCCAGGAGAGGTGGAGAGGGACTGGGGACAAGGGATGGAGGGACAGGACACAGGGAATGGCTTCCCAGTGCCAGAGGGCAGGGACAGATGGGATATTGGGAAGGACTTGTTGGCTGAGAGGGTGGGGAGGGGCTGGACTGGATTTCCCAGAGCAGCTGTGGCTGCCCCTGGATCCCTGGGAGTGTCCAAGGCCAGGTTGGATGGGGCTTGGAGCAACCTGGGCCAGTGGGAGGTGTCCCTGCCCATGGCAAGGGGTGGCACTGGAAGACCTTGAAAATCCTTTCCACCCCAAATCTTTCAGGGATTCAAAGATAAAAGGCCCATCGGGAAAATAAAAACCCGTTTGGATCGATCCGCTTGATTTCTCCCAGGAGCACTGAGTGCCATGGCCAGGCCTTCCTGGGACACCTCCAGGGCTGGGCACTCCAAACCTCCCTGGGCAGCCCCTGCCAAGGCCTCACCACCCTTTCCACGAGGAAAGGTGAGCAGGGACACCTTCCAGCAGCCCAGGTTGCCCCAGGCCCCATCCAACCTGCCCTTGAGCCCTTCCAGGTGCCCTCCTTGGGACTCCCAGCTCTTGCCCCCCATCCTTTGCGGGGTTGTGGGGTCAGAGCCGGGTGGGGGGAGCGTTACCTAACTGGGCTCACGTCACTGGGCTGTGGGGGCTGCCGTGGGGGAGTGGGAGCTCCTCGCCCCGGCTCGCCCGGCTCGGGTGCAGCTGTGGCAGTCACTGGAGCCAGGGGTGCCATTCATCTGACAGCTGTGGGCGGCTCTGGGAGCAGGGGATGAATCACAGCTCCATTGACTTCACTCCCAGCTCTCCATTGAGTCTAAAAGGAGCCCGGAGCCATCGCTGGGGGTGCTCGTGTTCTCCTCGCCCACGGTTAACTCGCTGCCTCCCGGGGCTGCTCCGACGGGGAGGGGATGGATCCAGGGCCTGGGCAGCATTCCTGGGGCTGCACCTCCAGTCAGGCCCTCATCCTGGCTCACCAGAGGGTGACACAGCTGTGGGGTGGTGTTGGAGGCCTCTCCTGCCTCCAGCTGCCCAGGCTCCATCTCCTGTTTTCGTTTCCTCAGTGTTCCCTTCACTTTGCACTTTCCCTTCCTCCCCTGATGTTTCTCAGACCATTCCTCCATTGGCAGCACCATGTGAATCCCAACCTGCTCTTCCCACGTGCTGCTGCCCTCTCTGTTGGGACCTCCTGCAAACTGAAGTTCTCTCCCTGTTCCCTCCTGATCCTTGGTGAGCACACTGAGCTCATCCCAGGACAGACCCTGCTGAAATCCCCCTCGCTCCATCCTTGCAGTTCAGCGGTGAAAAATGTGTCAGTGCAGCTCTTTCCTCACCTTGCAGAGGTTTCTATCCCCTTGGTTTCTTTTATGGAGATGCCTTGTGAGAGTGTTGGGAGTGCTCAGTTGACATCAGGCTCCATGTGGCAGCTCTTGCCTTTCCCGTGTTCAGGAGACCCATTATTGCCACACAAGAAATCGTGTTCCTTCAGCACATCCCATTCTCTCCCATCCATTCCACCTCCTGTTTGTCACCTGGATGGTTTATTAAACCCCTGTGCTGTTTGTTAGAGGATTTGCCAGGGAATTAAAGATGAGTTGCTTCATTTTAGGCTCCCTTTGATCTTTCTACTGCCTGTTTATAAAGATGAGCATCATCCTTTGTGTGGCTCTCCGGGAATGTCGAGCGTCCCAGGCGAGCTCTGAGACAACCCTGGCACAAGTCAGACACTTTCTGCCACCTCAGTGAGTTTCCCCAGGCCCAGAGGGTTGAAATAATCTCTAAATTCTTCCAACTGCTGGGTTTTTTTACTGTAAGGTCAGAGCTTGGCTTTAGTGTTATGGTGCCACCAGGAGTTGAGTGGAGCTGGTTTGTACAGAGCAAACAGTGATATATTTTAGTTGTTCACTTGGTAGGTCATAGAATTATAGAATTATAGGATGGTTTGTGTTGGAAGGACCTTAAAGATCATCTAGTCCTGCCCCCCATGGGCAGGGAACCTTCCACTAGACCAGGTTGCTCCAAGCTCTGTCCTAGATCATAGAAACCTGGAATTGTTTGGATTGGGAGGGACCTTAAAACCCACCCAGTGCCACCCCTCCCATGGGCAGGGTCACCTCCCACTAGCCCAGGTTGCTCCAACCTGGCCTTGGACACTTCCAGGGATCCAGGGGCAGCCACAACCACTTGGATTCAGGAATTATGGTGTGAGGTTGTCCCACTGTCCTTCCTCAGACAGGAGAGTTGTGTTACTGGAATGACCTTTCCCAGGCATGGGAATCTGCTTCCAGAGGGCCACCCCACACCTGGAAAGGAGGGTTTTGTTGGAGAGGGGAGGGTTTCACACCTATTGAGGAGCAGCTGCATACCTAGCTCTGCTTTTGAGGCCGGGGTGTGTGAGGTGCCACGAAGGGGGGGGGCCCTGTGACACCCTAAAGCACTTCACAGTTTTGTTGGAGTTTCTCCACATCAGGGTGCTTTGTTGCATGAAGTCCCTGGGTTTTTAGATTCCCTGTTTTCCATGGATGCTGTGGAAGCATGTCCACAATCACAGCACAGAGTGCAACACCAGGGCACTGCAGGGAATTCAGGCTCTGTGCTGCTTTGCTTCCCACGGATGGTGTTGTATGTCCTCGTATGTAATCCCCGTGTGCATCAGCTTTTGGGATGCCCTTCCCCAGCTCTGGGAAACAAAGGAATATTTCTATATTCCTGCTAGGAGCTGTGTGCTGCCGTGGTGTTCCCGGCAGAACCGGTGGGATTGGGATCCCTGGAAATGCTGCAGGTGGGCGGGTGCGGAGGAGGGTCCTGTCCCGGTGCCCGTCGGTCACGGGGAGCACACACGGGAATGTGGTGATCCCTCACCTTCCATCCGGGACCATCCTGCCCCCGTGCCACCCCTCGGGGTCCCCGTGGGTGGCACAGGTGTCCCTGGCAGGTGATCCCTTCCCTCCGGAGGGGCAGGAGGAGCGGGAAGGGGGAGGCGTGTGCCGGCCTGCGGCGGCTCCGCGCACGGTGCGGGGGGCCCGGTACCGCAGTGTGATTCCAGCTGTCCGCGCCCGCTCCTGGATGCACAGCCCTTCCCTCTGCCCGTGCCCCCCTCGCTCTGCCCGTGCCTTGGCAGGGAAGCTCGGGGAGGGGGGGATTCGTTCCCACTGCCACGCTCCGGGCAGATCCTTCACCACCGCTCCTGGCCCTGCCGGGGATCATCCCCATGCCCATCGCTCCCATCGCTCCCATCACAGTGGGAGGGGGATGCAGCAGCCCCTTCACCCAGGGATGAGCAGGGGCTTCGCTTCTCCATCTCTTGACAGCTCCCCATCCCTCCCCATTCCTCCCATCGCTCCCCATCTCATTAGGAAGGGGATGTAGCAGCCCCTTCACCCAGGGATGAGCAGGGGAATTCACTTCTCCATCTCTTTGATCGCTCCCCATCCCTCCCACCGCTCCCATCGCTCCCTCCTCGCCGCTCCCGCTTTGGCTCCTTGTGCCACCCCCCTTTCCCGGCGCTGCCGAGCCGGACCCAGGTCCCTGATTAATTCGGCTCTGATGTCAGACATGCGGCTCTGCTGGGAGGGATTTGCAGGGCTGCGTTTGCTCCGAGCGTCCCCCTCCCGTCCCTCTCCCGCGCGCCCCCGCCCCTCCCGCCGCACGTAGATGGGATTTGGGGAAGGGGCTCCGGTGGGCGCCGGCCCCGCGGAGCTGCCGCTCCCTCCGCCGCTGGATCCTCCCGGTTCTTCTCTCCCGGCCACCGCGGTGCCTTTGTTAAAGTGGGACAAGGAAATGCATCCCCCCTGCTCCTGGCAGACCGTCACTTAGCAACGCGGGGCGGGGGGGGGGGGGAGATTTTAGGAGAAGATCCGAGCGCCGGGATGAGGATTTAAACTCTGCCGTGCTCAACTCACCAAAGAGGCACCTTCTCCTTTCGTCGAGCAGCCGATTTTTTTTTCCGCGTGAGAGAGGCAACTGGGAAGTCTGAGAGAGCCGATCCCCCGATGCCCCCCCACGCTCCGGGCAGCGTTTAAAGGGGATCCCGAGGGGATCTGTATCCCTGCATTCCTATGCAGGTGACTGCGAGGGGGCCCGGTGGGCAGCAGGGTGATCCAGGCAGCCGGGGCTTTCCTCCTCCTCCTCCTCCTCCTCCTCCACGCTGAGGGAAAGTAGCTTTTCATCTTTTTTTCATTCTGACTTTGGGCAAAGGGAGGGGAGGGGAAGCAGCTTGTGCCCAACTCCCCGCTGAGATGAGACGGTGGATGAGAAGAGGTCTCCTTGTCACAGGCACAAAGGCCACCTCCGCCTGGCAGCATGGTGCTGAAATCTAACCCTGGCATCATTCTCTTGTGCTCTTTCCTGCCCAGTGACTACATCATTGAGGAGAAGACGGCCGTGCTGCAGAAGAGGGAGCATGAGGGATTCGGGTTTGTATTGCGAGGGGCCAAAGGTAAGGGCTGCTTCTTTCGCTGGCTCTGGGGCTGGGGCGGGAAGCGCCTTCTCCTCCCCCTGCCCGGGGCTCCGGATCCCCCGTTCCCGTGCCCGGCAGCCCTGGGAATTCGGGGCTCTTTAGGGGACTCTCTTCTCCGGCTCTCTCCTTGCCCAGATGCCATCGTGGCAGACACTTTTTCGGGGGGGGGTGGTTCTGGTGCAGGTGCTGCTCTTCGTGGCTTCGAGATCCTGGGAATGTTCACTCCTCCCCGTTCCCCGGGAGCGTGACCCGGGTGCAGCCCCGTGGGGCCGGGCCCGTGGCACCCGAGGCGTTTTTGGTCGAAATGCTGGAAGTATTTCACTGTACTTTGGCTGTGGAGAGTGGGGGTCCTTTGAGGAGCCCTGGTTGTGCCGGGGTTCCCGGGGGAAAACCGGGAGAGGTGTGTCCCGCAGCTCCCACCATCCCTTTGATCCCGCTCGGCTCATTCCCGGGGCACCCTGGGGTGCTCCCATGGCCGGACCTCGGGGCAGGGGTGGTTCCTGTGGCTTCTCCTGCCAGAAATCCATCTTTTTGCTGCAAAAAAAAAGAATTCTTTGGGGGGACTAGGGATGAATGTGCTCGTATGGATGTAGGGAAGAGGTTTCAGCTGCCGTGCTCGGGAGGCAGGGACGCCTCCGGCCGGAGAGCCCTGTCCCTGCCCAGCACTTCCAGGCTCTTGGAAATGCCACTGCCGGGAGCAGAGGGACAGTGGGAGCAGGGGACAATGGTGCAGCTCTGTCCCTTCCATGTAGGCTGCGAGGTGTGGGAGGGAAAGCTGGAAGCAGCTCCTGGGTAGTGCTGCTCCTTCCCCGGACCTCGGTGCGGCTGCGGATTCGGGCTTTGATCTCGGGGGGGAATTTCGGGGGGTGGATTCCTGGATCGCCTTTGTTCTGCCCGTGGAAGGGCTCGGTGCTGGTGGGTGTGTTTGCATCCCTGTTGGAATATGGTTGCTGTCTCTTCCTCCCTTTCTCTCCCCTTCCCTAGGGATGTGACATACGTGTCCGTCCGTGTGTAGCGTGAAGTGAAACTTCACGGCTCAAAATGGCATCCATTTTTTTTTTCTGGATCAATCTTGCCCCTATTGTGTTGGGGAAAAATGGATACATTTAGTCCTTTTTCCCATTTTTTCCCCTTTTTTTTTTTTCCTTCTTTACCCTCCCGACGTTTGCAGGCTCTGCCTTTCCCTTTGTCTGCTGAGGCTGAAGGCAGGACTGGGAGCGGATTAAGTGGGCGTGTGGCTGTGTGGGATTTGGGAATCCTGGCGGTGCTGCAGGGCACCGGGAAGCGCGTGGCTGCAGAGGGTCGTGGTGTGGGCACGGTCTGGGAGGCTCCCCAAGCCCCTCAGGGAGCAGCATTCCCTCCACAGGGAGGTGGATGTGGTGGCTTGGATCCCCTCCACCTGTGTTTCCCAGCCCCTCATCCCGGTGCTCTGTGGGGTTTGGGCTGGAAGGAGCTCTGGGACTCTCTGCGTGGCCCCGTCGGTGTCACCACCACTCCATTTAGGGAAAAGCACTTAAGGAATCATGGTGTGAAGAGGAAAAGGGGTCTGGAAATGGGGGGATCAGAGGATCATCCCTTGCAGGGGTGGGAGATGGATAATGTGGACTCAGCTGGATGATCCTCAAAGGAATCTGCTCTTCGTGCTGCAGGGAGGGTGTGAAAATCTTTCCTGGCTTCTCTCAGTCCTGCTGAGGGTTCATTCCTGCCCCAGCCCAAATTTGTCCCTGTGAACACCTCCAGGAAGGAGGCTCTGCACCATCCTGGACAACCAGCCCTGCCCAGCCCAGCCCATCTCCACCTCTGCCCGGCTCTGGAGGAGGTGACATCCCACTCACACCAGCTCAGGCTTTGGACAGAGCTGATCTTATTCCATCCTGGCCTCTGCAGGGGATGAGCTGCAGCATTTGGACCTGGGGGTCCCTGCAGTCATTGCCTGGGAATGCCCAGAGGAGCTGTGGCTGCCCCTGGATCCCTGGAAGTGTCCAAGGCCAGGCTGGATGGGGCTTGGAGCAACCTGGGCCAGTGGAAGGTGTCCCTGCCCATGGCAAGGGTGGCACTGGATGGGCTTTAATGATCCCTTCCACCCAAACCATCCTGGGATTTCATGATTAGGGAATCCTGTGGAATCAATGGGAGGATTCACTTCTCCATCTCTTGGCCCAGAGAGGTCCCAGCCTTTCACATGCTCATCATGGACCTACTCAAGGTGCTGAGAGACATTTCTTGGCTTACAACAGGCTCAGGCTGGCCATGAGGAGGAATTTATTGCTGGAAAGGGTGGTGAGGCCTTGGCAGGGGCTGCCCAGGGAGGTTTGGAGTGCCCAGCCCTGGAGGTGTCCCAGGCAGGCCTGGCCGTGGCACTCAGTGCTCTGGGCTGGGGGACAAGGTGGGGATGGGGCACAGGGTGGCTCCATGGGCTGGGAGGGCTTTTCCAACCTCAGGGATCCTGGGATCCTGAGCTCACCAGTCAACACCTTCCATGCCTACACTGGAGCATCTCCCTCTTCCCAGCCAACCCATCAGGCGCTGTCTCTCTGGTAATTTAATTCCTAAATATTCCTAAACTGAGGCCATCCTGGGAGCAGGGGCTGTTACAGCTCCCCCAGTGACTGCTCCTCACACGCTGCCTCCAAATCCACTCTGCCCATTCCTGGGCACAGGAATAGCAATCCCAGGCCAGTCAGTGCCTGTTGGCATCAGCCTGTGGTGGGTTTTTGTGGGAGCAGAGGCACAGGGAGCACCTGACTTGGGAATTTACGCTCTAAGGAAGGAGTAGATCCCATCTCTGGAAGTGTCCAAGGCCAGGTTGGACAGGGCTTGGAGCAACCTGAGAGAGTGGAAGGTGTCCCTGCCCACGGCAGGGGGTGGGACTGAGTGGGCTTTAATGTCCCTTCCAAACCAAATCATCCTGGGATTCTATGATTTTATGGATAACAAGGATATCATCATTAATACAAACAATGAATTGTAAAGAAAGTAAAAGGAAATGGCTCCAAGACTTTTCTTGAGGGCAGAGCTTTTGTCTGTTTGTCTGGGAAGAACCACGTTATTCCCCAAGTTCCGAGGTTCTTTCATCTTGTGGTTTGTGTGTCTCCTGATGCAGCTGATCCCATGGGAAGGAGGCTCCGTGCTGATCCACTGCAGGGCTCCTGATACATCCCAAAACATCAATCTTTTATCACCCACCTCTCCCCAGGCGGGTGCTTCACCTGCATCTGCCTCAGCACGGGATCCACACCCGTTTTCCAGGTTTATCCATGGGCTCCCCACGGCCCCAGGACCCCCATATTGCCCTCTGCCCCTCAGTGCCCCTCCTGTGCCCAGTGTTGGTCCCACCTCGGAGCACAATTCCAAAGAGGAGCAGCTGAGGGAGCTGGGAAGGGTGTGGAGAACTCCTGAGGGAGCTGGGGGGGCTCATCCTGGAGAAAAGGAGGCTCAGGGGGGACCTTCTGGCTCTGCAAGTCCCTGCCAGGAGGGGGGAGCTGGGGTGGGTGGGTCGGGCTCTGCTCCCAGGGAACAGGGACAGGACAAGGGGAAACGGCCTCAAGCTGTGCCCGGGGAGGCTCAGGTTGGATATTGGGGAATTCCTTCCTGGAAAGAGTGATCAGGCCCTGGCACAGCTGCCAGGCAGGGATGGGGTTCCCCCCTTCCCTGGAGATTTCCAAGCCCTGTGGATGTGGCACTTGGGGACATGGGGCAGTGGTGGCCTTGGGGAGCAGCTGGACTTGATGGCTTGGAGGCTTTTCCAACCTCAGTGATTCCATGATTCCTGTGATTCCTCACAGCAACATTCCTCTTTGCTGTTCAGCCTCAGGTGTTGGGTTTTCATCCCTGTGTGAGGAGCAGCCGGAGCCACTGGGATCACAGACACTCGGATCCCTCAGGGAATTCCATAGGGGCTTGGCACTTGCCTGGATCTGAGCGATTAGTGCATCCTTTGAGGGTGGTTTAGTCCTTTCCTGTCCTCTGAGAACCTCAGGAGCCTCTTCCCAACCCTGGGAGGGTTGGGTACAGTCAGAGCTCAAGGATCTTCCTGCTGCTCTGGGAAGTGGGAATGTTGGTTGTCCCCAGGCCCTGCAGCAAGATTTTGGGATGCAACACTGGGATCATCATGGACGTGAAGAGCTCACTGATGGTTTCCAGACCTTGGCTCTTGTGCAGAGGAGTTCTGGGACACTTGGTGACCCTCAGGAAGGACAGGAGTTGGGACGGGGGGTTTTTGGATCATCTCTGTTAAGGGTGATGTGATCCTTGTGGAGATCTAATGGAAAACTGGGAACAAGGCCCAGCAGAGTCTGGGATTTGGATTATGACACTCTTTTGTAGGAACCTTGGGAATTTCAACACTCAGGAGCTGATTTTAGGTACCTGCCCCAAGGAATGGGGGTGAGGAGCAGAAAAAGCCTCAGCTGTGCAGACCCTGCTCAGGAGTAACTAAAATATCCATGTTATCCACCCTGTTCCCAACAGGAGGTTTGGTGCCTCCAGGATGGAGTTTGGTGCCTCCAAGAGGAGGTTTGGTTCCCCTAGGGTGGGATTTTGTGCCCCCCAGGATGAGGTTTGGTGCCTCCAGGATGGATTTCAGGTGCCTCTGGGATGGGATTTGTTGCCCCAGGGCTTTCCTGGTGACCCAGCTCTGTCAGGTCTTCTCCCACAGCTGGAGCTGGAATTCCTCCGGCGGGACATTCCAGACTGAAGTGTTTTTAAGGCAAGGAAGTGTCCAGCTTGCACAACCAGAGCTGTGGTGGCTCCTCAGGAGGTGCAAATTCTGCTTCCTGAGGTTTGAAGTCATTGGCTTCGGCAAAAATCTTTGGGTGGCGTTGGATGGGCCTTGAGGCCCCTTCCAACCCAAACCATTCCATGGTTCCACGATTCTGGGTCACAGTTCCTCCATCCACTGCTGTGGATGTTGAGGACACCAGGAGCACTCAGCCTTGCAGGCCTCCTGCTCTCCGTGGAAAAGGAGTTCAAGTTCATTTTGAGTCCCTGTGACCAAGTCCTGGGGACTCCAGGCAGTGTCACCTCCTCTGGCTCCCTGTGTCCCCTTCCTGGATTGAACAACGCTCCTGGAATTTGTTCCACGAGGATACAGCTCTTAAATCAGGATTCATTTTCTTTTTTTGTGTGTGCTGAGCCTTTGAGGCCCCGGTGACACTTCCCAGCTCGTGTATCACGACGTGCACTCGCTGCTGCCTTCAGGCTCCCAGCCCACGGGAAGCGCTGTGCCTGGAGTGCCACGTGGATAACACTGACAGAGCAGGCTGGGAGCTGGGATTTGCTCCCTTAACTTCATCTGTATTCCCTGTCAGTTGATATCTTGGATTACATCCTTGCCCAGAGAAGCTGTGGCTGCCCCTGGATCCCTGGAAGTGTCCCAGGCCAGGTTGGACAGGGCTTGGGATAATGGAAAGTGACCCTGCCCATGGCAGGGGGTGGCACTGGATGGGCTTTAAGGTCCCTTCCACCCAAACCAATCTGGGGTTCTATGATTCCCAAGAGCACCCTTGAACTGCCCCTCAGGTGACTGCTGCAGGATTTTAGGATTTTGATTTAGGATTTTTCCACTGGGAAACGCAGCGGGATTGTGGGGGGGGGGGAGCAGCCACTGTGTGATAACACAGTTTGCTCACATCAGGCTCCTTCTCCTGGCTGGGAAACCAATTAAATTGTCACCTGTCCAACCCCACCCTCCCCCGGGAGCAGGGCTTGACTCAACATTTCCGTGGCTTGATTGGGGCGCGTGTGATCCGGGAGGGCAGAGCGCGGGTCCCGCCTCGTGCTGCTTTTCCACAGGGACCATCTGTCTCATTAGCATTATGTAAATTATTGACTCGACTTTCACAGCCAGTTTGAGCCTCCCCTTTTTTCTCCTTTTCAACCCTCCAGGTCTTTCTCACCTCACACCCTCACACCCTTCTCCACTTAGACCCGACCCGACAGGCACTTCATTCTGCACCAAATCTTGGTGGTCCTTTGAACTCCAGAGTATTCCGAGAACTTGCTGGTCAACACTGAGCCAGAGGGTTGAATTTATCACGGGAGAGGTCCTGAAGGAGTCAAACATCCCATTGGCATTTCCAAAAATAGGGAGGGTGGCTTGTCAGCTCTTTGCCGCTTGGCTCCCGGGGAAGGGAGAAGTCGTGGAAAGCTGTTGGTGAAAAGCATCTGAGATCGCTCAGCAGATTTGACATCCTGTCAGGAGATGTTGGTCTTGGTGTGGTGCTGGGCCGTGGAGTGCAAAAATCCTGCCTAAAATATGTAAATAAAGAATAAAGGAGGAATTGTCTTTATCTGCGTGAAGGCAGTGTCTGCTGACACTGAAACAGAGGAGAATGGGGGTGACGTTGGCTGGAATGACCTGACATTGAAGGAGATGCCCTCCAAGGCCAACCATGGGCTCTGTGATTCATCAGGGGGTTGACACAGCTCTTAAAATGCATTTTTGGGATAATTTAGGGTCATGAGAACTTGTCTAGGCCTGATGGTCCAGCACAAAGCAGGCTCAGGGGGGACCTTTTGGCTCTGCAAGTCCCTGCCAGGAGGGGGGAGCCGGGGGGGGTCGGGCTCTGCTCCCAGGGAACAGGGACAGGACAAGGGGAAACGGCCTCAAGCTGTGCCAAGGGAGGCTCAGGTTGGAAATTGGAGAAATTCCTTCCTGGAAAGGGCTGTCCAGCCCTGGCACAGCTGCCCAGGGCAGGGGTGGAGTGCCCATAACCTGGAGGGATTTCAAATCCCTGTGGATATGCCACTTGGGGACGTGGTCAGTGGTGGCCTTGGCAGTGCTGGGGACAGTTGGACTCGATCTCCATGGGCTCATGGGCTTTTCCAGCCCACCTGATTCCCTGGCTGTGAATGGAATGTGGGCACTGCTGGCACACCGAGCCTCGGGCAGGGGACGTGTCTGAACCGACACACAGGGACCTTCTCGGCCACCCCCTCAACCCCTCCCTCCCTTCGTGTCTTGCAGCTGAAACCCCGATCGAGGAGTTCACCCCGACCCCGGCCTTCCCAGCGCTCCAGTACCTGGAATCAGTGGATGTGGAAGGGGTCGCTTGGAGAGCGGGGCTGCGCACAGGGGACTTTCTGATCGAGGTGAGTGCGTCCTCCGGGGCCCACCTGCTCGTGGAGCTCCTGTCTCTGGGGAGGGGTTCTGGGAGGTGTGGCCCGTTCATCAGTTGATGCTTTGGGGACTGTGCTCGGAGGAACCTGCAGGAGATGTTGCTGTGGGGCCTGCAGGTGACAGGGGTGTCCTGAGCCAGGTGGGTGTGCTGTGAGCAGGCCAAGTCTGCGTTTCTGAGAGCCACAGAAGAGGCTCTTCCAGTGAGGCAGCCAAAGAATGGTCCAGGTGTGGGTCGCTCTGTTGGTCTGTTCCATGTCCTGGCTCCAAAGGATCCCAGAGAGCTTTGGTTTCCAACAAAGATGTGCGGTGCTGGGGCAGGAAGGGATGTGGGACAGATCCTGCCCATTCCAAGGGAGCATTGCTGGGATGAGGCCAGGTGGATGTGGAGCCTGTGGGGTGACCACGGATTGGCACTGCCTGGGGGGTGACCTGAGGAGAAGGATTTGGGGTGTTGGTGGGTGAGGCTGGGCATGAGCCAGCCCAGAACCCCCCGTGCCCTGGGCTGATCCCACAGGGATCGTGGGCAGCAGGGGATGGGGGGATCCTGCCCCTCTGCCCCCTCAGGTGAGACCCCCCTGCAGAGCTGCCCCAGCCCTGGGAACAGCAGCACAAGGACGTGGAGCTGCTGGAGACAGTCCAGAGGAGACCCTGGAGCTGCTCCCAGGGCTGGATCCCTCTGCTCTGGAGCCAGGCTGGGACAGCTGGGGGGGATCACCTGGAGAAGAGAAGGGTCCAGGGAGACCTGAGAGCCCCTGGCAGGGCCTAAAGGGGCTCCAGGAGAGCTGGAGAGGGACTGGGGACAAGGCCTGGAGGGACAGAACGCAGGGAAAATGGCTTCCCACTGGAAAAGGAGTGATGTGGGCAGGATTTTGGGAATAAAGCTGAACTGGTCTCACAGCACTGCTGGCACTGGTGGGGATCAGTGCTTGGTCAGCTCAGCTCCAGTGATTTGCTTGGGGGTCTGAAGGTTGTACTGAAAACTGGATATTGGGAAAAATTCCTTCCTGGAAAGGGCTGTGCAGCCCTGGCACAGCTGCCCAGGGCAGGGTGGGAGTCCCCATCCATCCCTGGAGGGATTCCAAATCCCTGTGGATGTGGCACTTGGGGACGTGGTCACTGGTGGCCTTTGCAGTGCTGGGGTTGGTTGGACTCCGTAGGCTCAGAGGGATTTTCCAGCCTAAACATATATTTTTAAAAGGCTCTTTTCCATGGATATTTGTCAGCCCCGTGCCAGGGAAGTGGCTGAGGAACCCCCAGCTCCCAACAGGGCTCCTTGGGATCTTCCTGGCCATCCTTTTTCCTCACGGGCATGGAATGTATAGTTGATGGGAAGGCTGCAGGATCGAGGATCCCAAACCTACCAACCCTCCCAGAGCTGATCCCTTTTCCTGCTCAGACATTTTGGAAAGATCACAAAGCAGGGAATTCAGGAATCTCAGACGCACACGAAGCCACGCGGGGAGCGGGGAGAGCGGGTCGGTGGAAGAACCTCTCCCCTCTCCCCTCTCCCCTCGCTCCCAGAGGGATGTTGAGCTGCAGAATAGCTGTGTTTCCTGGCTCTCCTTCCCTCTGGAGCAGCAAGAGGAGCTGACCACCCCCGTGGCTGCCAAGCGTGAGTGGTTTCCCGGGAAGGGAAGCTGGAGGTGGCTTGAGAATGAGCACAGCAGCTCTGCCGCAGTGGAGAGCCACGTTCCAAGGGGGATATTCCAAAAGGGAGAAGGCAGGAGGGAGCCTGAAACCTCGTGCAGCTCTCTGGGAACGCCCTCCCTGACCTTCCCAGGCGTTTGGATTAGGGAGATGTTCCGTTTAGATGGGAAATGTGGGGGGGAGTTTGGAAGTTTGAGGCCTCGTTTCGACCTGAGACCGTCCCTTAGAGATTGAGTGAAGGAATTAATTAAATAATAATTAAACAAAGGCGAAATGAATCTTTGTTCTTTTGGCTTTGAGGGTTTCTTAGTCCTGGAGGTCAGTGCTGGGCAGAGAGGAAGGTGTCAGGTGCTTCCACACTGGAGTGAGCAAATCCCAGTGGAGAAGTGGGTCAGCCCCTTGGTCAGCATTCCAGACCCTTGGGATGAGTCAGTGGGAGAGGATCTCTCCAGGTCACCCCTTGTGTGCATTCCAGACCAGCTGGGAAGCCCTGAGAGGCATTTCCAGGTTGGGAAGTGTTTGGTGGCAGGGACAGTCTCCGTGTGAGAGACTGGAACCACAAATGTCTCCTTCCTGCAGGGACCACTGGCAGGACACTGCCTGGATCCTGGAGCCCAACTGGTGGGGACAGGAAAGGGGCAGGATGGACCAGCTGGAGCGGGATCTGACCCACACATGGATCCCCCAGGCCATGGACCCTCAGTCTGTCCAGTCCTGTCTCCAGTTCCCAGATCTCTCTGGCACCAACACAGACCAGTTCCCTGCTGGCTGCTCCAGCCTGACCACCAGTGGCCAACTCTCAAACCAGTCTGCTCACCCCAGTAGCAAGTTCCCAGTCCTCCCAGTCTCTCCAGTAACTGCCCAAGGTCCTCCTGCGTTTGTTACTCTCCCAGCACCTTGAGGAGGTCTGGCACCACCCCAGGATGCTGTTCCTGGCATTCCAGGACGAGTCCCTCACCCCTGCAGGCAGCAGCTGGACCACAGGCTCACACAGAGAGATCTCCCCATGGACTCATCCCAGGGACTTGGAACACAGAGCAGGGATGGAGACTCATCCCAGGGGTCTGGAATGCAGAGCAGGGGTTACCTGGAGAGATCCCCCCCTCACTGCTCTCAGGTCTCCCTGGAGCCTTCTCTTCTCCAGGGGAACCCCCCCAGCTCTCCCAGCCTGGCTCCAGAGCAGAGGGATCCAGCCCTGGGAGCAGCTCTGGGGCCTCCTCTGGATTCCTCCAATGGAGGCAGCAGCTCTTCCAAGAATTCCCTGACCTGTTGCTTCCCCTCTGGCTCATGTGACGTCGTGCGCTGCCCTCTGGGCTCTGGGAGGTCACTTTGCCCACGAACACTGAGACAAAAAGCCAAGTTAAGCCTGACTTTGGTCCTGTCTTAACTTCTCCACAGCTGATTTTTCATCTGCAGAGTCGCATTTTCCCCGAACTTCCTTTTGGTGCCACTGTGACACTAAAAATATCCTTGTTCTGCCTCAAGTCTGTTCTCAGTCTTTGCTCCAGCCGGGCTTTGCCCTTCCTGATGCTGTCCCGAGTGCTGGAGCTGCTCCCATGTGCCTGTCACCACATTCCTCAGAATCCCAGGATCCCTGAGGTTGGAAAAGCCCTCCCAGCCCATGGAGCCACCCTGTGCCCCATCCCCACCTTGTCCCCCAGCCCAGAGCACTGAGTGCCACGGCCAGGCCTGCCTTGGACACCTCCAGGGCTGGGCACTCCAAACCTCCCTGGGCAGCCCCTGCCAAGGCCTCACCACCCTTGCCAGCAACAAATTCCTCCTCAGGGCCAACCTGAGCCTCCCCTGGCACAGCTTGAGGCCGTTTCCCCTTGTCCTGTCCCTGTTCCCTGGGAGCAGAGCCCGACCCCCCCCGGCTCCCCCCTCCTGGCAGGGACTTGCAGAGCCAGAAGGTCCCCCCTGAGCCTCCTTTTCTCCAGGATGAGCCCCCCCAGCTCCCTCAGGAGTTCTCCACACCCTTCCCAGCTCCCTTCCCTTCCCTGCACACGCTCCAGCCCCTCCATGGCTCTCCTGGCTGAGGGCCCAGAACTGCCCCCAGGATTCCAGGGGTTCCTCCCCAGTCCCCCAGGTGTGGATCAGCAGGGATCCAGTGTCTCCCAGGAGATGGAGCTGCCAGCAGCTCTCCAGGTGTGGATCAGGAGGATCCCCACATTGCCTTTGGGATTCCCTGTCCCTGGAGGGATTTCCAGGCCCTGTGGATGTGGCACTTGGGGAACCAGGGCAGTGTCCAGCCTTGTGTCTTCCCTTGAGCCTGTCAGGGTTTAAATCCTGGATTTTCATCCTGGAGGAGCCAGTGATGAAACGACAGCCTTTGTGTGTTCACTTCCATGTTGGACACACGTGGATCATGTTTGGGTGTGCACCCAGGACTTGGGATAACATAGGGGTATAAACCTGTGGATATAAATTGCAGTACCATAAATGTGCCTGTTTTCACTCTTTAGGGCTGGAGGACACAGTTGTCCAAAAGCTTTTGTTCAAGGAAATGGGAATCGATATCGAGCTGGGATCTCAGAGCAGTGAGAAGCTTCTGGGGCAACCCAAACACCACCAGGGGAGGGTTAGGTTGGATATCATGAAATATTTCTTCGTGGAAAAGGTTGGAAAGCACTGGAAAGGGCTGCCCAGGGCAGTGGGGGAGTCACCATCCCTGGAAATGTTCAAAAAAATGTGGATGTGGCACTTGGGGACGTGGACGTGGTGGGGGTTGGTGGCTGATGATCTTAAAGGTGTTTTCCAACCTCAAGGACTGTGTGATCCTGTGATTTTGTTGTTGATTCCTCGTGGGTGAGGAGAAAACCTGCTCTGGCCACAGTCAGTCCCACAGGGAATGTGCCCTGGGAATCTCATAATATTAATTGGAATTTGGATTAATTTTAATATCTCCTCTGGAGCCAGGCTGGGACAGCTGGGGGGATTCTCCTGGAGAAGAGAAGGATCCAGGGAGACCTGAGAGCCCCTTGCAGGGCCTAAAGGGGCTCCAGGAGAGCTGGAGAGGGACTGGGGACAAGAGATGGAGGGACAGGACACAGGGAATGGCTTCAAACTGGAAAAGTGGAGATTTGGGTGGGATTTTGGGATGGAATTGCTGGCTGGGAGGGTGGGGAGGGGCTGGACTGGATTTTCCAGAGCATCTGTGGCTGCCCCTGGATCCCTGGGAGTGTCCAAGGCCAGGTTGGAACTCCCTGGGCTGCTGGGAGGTGTCCCTGGAGCTGTAGATGGATGGTCTTCCATGTCACTCCCACTCCAAACCATCCCACGGTTCCAATTGTCGAGATCTGAAGGTTTTTTGAGGACGTGCTGCTAA